ATATATTGTTCCATTAATGAGTTGGTACAATTCATCACTACCTAAGTGTATATATATAGCTTTTCGAAATAGAATAAGTCATATTCTGGAAGATGATTTTTTAAGAACAAGTTGTTAATTTGGAGAAACTAATCTAAGTATAGCCTTTTGAAAATAGAATATGACTCATATACTAGAAGAGAGACAAAATAATTGAAAACACAGGCTATTTTCATGGAGAAATTTTTAAGAACAAAAGTAAGCTATTCCAATATTTTGTATCTTTCTTTCCCTTACCCGTCGTTTTCTCTTCCACTCGGCAATAGTCTTATTTAAAAGAAAAAAGAAATCAAGGATATTTAGGTAATTAACTAACTCATAAAACTTAATACTTCCTCCGTTTCAAGTTATTTTTAAATAAAATTTTATATATTAATAAATCTTATTAAATACATTTAACAATTTTATTTTTTTAAAATAAAAATATAAACTTTCAAAAATTCTTATAATTTAATATATTAAAGAAAAAGATGAAAATTAATTATAAAAAAAGAAAAAGTAAAATTAAAATTGACGTATTTTATAAAATTTTAACCTATTTAAAATATGTTATATTTTAAAATAATTTTTTTAAAAAATATTCTATAATTTAAAATAGAAGGAGTAACATTTAAACCCTCCAGGCTCTTCATGTCACAAATTATCGGCCATTCAATGCTATTCTCCCTTTCTAAAACGATAATGCTATCTCACTGTCAAAGGAAGACCTCGAGAGTGGAGAGAGGTTGACTTTGCGGTTCCCATCCACAATATACCAACCAAGTTATATGTAAGCGACTATTGCCAGCTCCCTTAACTATCTTTCCCACAATCTCTCATCCACACAGATCAAACTACTCATTGCTGCTTGTCTTCGAATTCTTTCCAGCTTTCTCTTTGAGTCGTTTCTTCAAGAAAAGTTTATAGTATAAAAATTTAAAAAAAAAAATCCTTTTGCTTGTTGTGATTTCTCGTGCCGCCGTTTATCTTTCCTCTTTCAAATTTCTTATCATCATTGGTTTAATTATTTTCTTCCCAAAAACAAAAATTAATTACTTCTGCTTCTTGTGATTTAGTTCTTGTGCCAACGCAAACTTTCTTTCAAATTTTCTTTTGATCATCAGTTTATTTTGTTAGGGAAACAAAATCCTTTTGGTTGTCGTAATTTATGTGCTGTTGTAGCATTTCTTTCAAATTTCTTTTGATCATCATTTTATTTTCTTTAAAAAAAAAAAAATCTTTTTACTAGTTGTGATTAATTTCTTGTGCCGCTTTCAAATTTCTTTAGATCGTCAGTTTATTTTCTTCAAAAAGAAAAAATCCTGCTTGTTGTGATTTCTTGTGCGACCTCAACTGTTCTTTCATATTTCTTTTGATCATCAGTTTATTTTCTTTTTAAAAAAAAATCAAAGAAAATTGAGAAAGAGAGAGGGAGCTGATATTGCTTTGAAGAAGTTCCATCTTTCAGGGAACCTAACAAATCTGTGATCATCCCGCTCTCGCCTTACTCTTGTAAAGTTCTTCATCAGGATTGCTCTTGCCTGGCTTTCTAGTTTGTTTTTCCATTCCTCTTGTTACCCAAAAAAAAAAAAAAAAGTTTGATATTTGAAGACCCCGTCGTCCGTATATATCAAGTAAGCCTAATACATTATCTTCGTCTCTTACTTTTTAAACTTCCATTTGCTTGTTAATTTTTAAGTTTCTTTGTTGTTTATTTACATTTTTCTATTCCAATATTCTGAATCTTCTTGTCCAGTTATTTTAGTTATTCGATCTTAATTTGAAACTTCATGAAGTGTTTGGTTAAACAATGAACAACAAAGGATGAATTTAATTTTAATCTCTTCTTGTTTAATTAGTTGAAAATGAGGGGTATTTTAATAATTCTGGTTTGGTTCACGAAGGAAAGGGAGGTAGTTACAAATTGACCAATATGCCCTTATATTATTTTATTTTTTAAAAAATAATTGAACAGTTTATCTGAATAATCAATAATCAATAATATATTTTATAAGGAAAAACTTATATACTTAATCTCATATATTTAAGGTGATTATTTCTAATTAAATTAAAAAATATTTTGTGGATTGTTTATTTTATAAAAAATTCTTATTATTAATATTATTAATCCATTTAAAATCCATTTGTCTTCATTTGATCGAATAAAAATATATTAAATATATAATGCTAAGTATAGAAGCCTTACCCTTTTCTAAATTAAATGAAGGTTATTTAAAAATAATTGAACATGTTTTTTTTTTTTGGTAGAATTGAAAATGTTATCTAATCCGAAACACTACCTGAGCGGAAAAGGGGTATAAAAAAAACACTTTTCTCACGGAGAAATTGACTTATCCCACCTTAAAATTTGAAATTAGGATCTGTTTTCAGGACCTGAAAATAAAAATATTATTTTAACTGTAAAAATTTTGTTGTCTGTTTGCTAATGTCTTAGTATTTAATTTGTATTCTTATTTCAGGTCCAAAAAAAGAACTTGTATTGTCAGATACCAGGGAGGCTCCTTTACGCACGTTAAACTGGTTTTGTCCCTCAAGCATTGTCATAAACGGTTGAAATCTTCATAAAAAAAGTGGTAAGCATGCATCTTGAATATAATTTATTTATCTTCATTCTTGTATCTGCATTTTTTATTTGTCTTCAAATTTTGTATTTGATGAATTTCAGTTTCAATGATTTATACGTCCTTGAAATATTTAGAGTTTTAAATAATAGATCTTTTTCAGATAAAAACATAGATCTTTTAACTTTCCCTTAAGTAATGTCGATATCATTGTTGTTTGATGTTTCTCATTTCTTAAAAGATTAACAATTAATAATTTTATATATGATATATAATTAATTACCAATACGTCTTTTATCATTATTTTTTTATAGATTTTGTGCTAAGTTTTTTTTAATATTCTTATCATTTCTTTCAGCCTCCTCTTCGTTCATTTCTTGTTCTGATACAAACTTGAAAAAAATCACAAATCAGAAAAAAGAAAAGGCTTCCCAACTAAGCGTTGTCAAACCAAGTTGAAATCTTCAGAAAATTTGTAAGTATACGTTTCCAACGAGTTTATTTCCTTAAGTCTACAATTTTAGTTGTTTTCTACTTTATGTTTAGTTTATTTTGACCAGTCATTTATATTATATTATCCTTTAAATATTCATTTACAAAATAGATAATCTGCTGAAAAATTTAGATACTTAGCCTTATATACTTCATAAATTTTTATCCAGTCAAATCAAAATAAGTGAATTTTAAATGTTAAAAATATTAATAAAAGAATTTGTTAAAAAATAAATAATGCATAAAAGACCCACATGTCTAGATTTAATTGAAAACAAATCTAATAAGTATATATAACTAAGTTTTTGGCCTAATATATATAACTAAATATATAAGTTTTTTCTCATATTAACACTTTTATTTGTTGATTTTTTACTGCCTTTTTTTTACATCATAATAATAATAATAATAATAATAATAATAATAATAAAAAATAAACCTTTAAAATTATGAAACCTCAGTTTAGTCCTTATGGGTCCTATTCGAACAAAATTGAAATTAAGTTTTTGAGGGACATAACACAAATAATACCAATATCTTACGTCAGTTATGTATTTTACTTTAATATTAAAAATTGAAAAAAATATCTAAAAATTGTTATTAATAAGAATCATATAAATAAAAATTTATCTTTTAATATAAGAAAACTATGATATTTTGCAAGTTTTTTTTAACTAAATCAATATAAATCAGCAATAGCAAAAAAAAAAAGTATTCTAAAGCAAAACATACTTTTTGTTTAAATAAGTACCACAATCTTTATTCAAAAAAGAAAATAACGGCTACAAAAAAATAAGAATTAGAAGAAAATAAACAAAACATATAACAAAATTTATATAATTTTTATTAATAACATTTTTGTAGATATTTTCCTTTTCACTTGTTTAATATAAAATGTTGTTTTAATTGATAAAAAATAATAAAATTATAATTTTTTAAATTTTATTACCCGTGAATAATGAGAATAATATCTCTTAACTAAAAAAATGAGTGAGTAGTCATGTGTGTTAAAAGTAAAATTTATAATTTTATCTCTCCTTAAATTCTACTAAAAAATTATAAAAATATTTTTTCATGTCAAGTGCTATGTGTATTACATTAATATGACATGTCTATAATTATATTAATAAAATAATAGTTAATTAATGATTAGGAATTTTGAAAAACAAAATAAAATGTTAGAAGGGTTAATTTTAAATATTAAGAAATGAGGGAGATATATGCAGTTGTCTTAAAATTTAGGAGAGGTTAATGCATTTTAGCTTCTTCTTTTTTTAATGATTTAGATTTTGTTTGTGATACAAGGCTTTACCTTTTCGTTAGTATTCCAAAAAAAAAAAGTCGTAATAATAATTAAGGACATCATAATAAGATTAAATATTAAATCAAGATTGTTAAAAAATTCTAGAATGCCCAAACTTGAAAAGAGAAGTAATGAATTTGAATTTAAAAATTTTAGTTATGAAGAAATGCCAATTCAATATTAATATTAACTTCCGTGGTATATGATATTATCAAACTGATGGGAAAGTTGTCCATGTAAACTTTTGGGCAGGTTATTGTAGGATATTATGAGGCGGCAATTTTCTGCATCATGAAAAAAAAAAAAAAAAAAAGTTTCCGTAGTATGTATGATTTGATTTCTTTCTTCAATTATCACCTACGTTGGGAAAAATAAATAAAAAAACAATCACCAACCTGTTTACCGCTGCTTTTCTCTGAACTTTCTTTCGAGTTTTCTCTTCAGTTCTTTGCTCAAGAAAATTCCAGAAAAGAAGCGAACAATGTTTGCCTTGAAATTCTTCTTTCGAGTTTTCTTGTGCTTCATTGTGTGCCGCCGAAACTTTTTCATTCGCTCTTCTGTCACTCATCAGTTTATTTTCTTGTGGAAAAATAAAAATTAGAGAGATGGAGAAAGAGCTGCATTTGCTTTGAAGAAGTTTCTTCCATGAAGACACCATCGATTTAACCAGTAGGTAGGCCTTAAATTGGCTCTTACTTTCAAAGTTCCACTTCTAGTTATTTCTTTGTTTATTTACTATTTTTGTTCATTTATTTTATCGCATCTTAAATCTTGAAATGAGGATATTTTTCAGGATCTGAAAATAATAGTTTTTTAATCAACAAATAATAATTTTTAACTGCAATGCTCTGTTCCCTGAAGAGAAGTGAACATGTATGACATAAAAAGTCACTTGAACAACAAATGGGTTTTTCTTTTTTTCTCTTTAAGATTTTACAATATAAAGTATGAACTTTAACTTTTCGCTTCGTTTAATTTTAGTTTTTTTTTATGGTTAAATTTTTAGCCTTAAAGAGGTAGAAAGCTTTAAGTCCTCAAACAAAGCTGGATCTGTGTGTGGTAGAACAAAAGAAGAGAGGAGAAGAGAGTTTGCTCGTATTGTCTACTCAGTAATACTCTTTCTTACCCAATTCTATGCATAACCAATTTTTTTAATTAAGGCCAATGATCAATTCCTAGTCTATTTAATTACCTTTAAACAGTCTCAAATCATTATCTATTTAGCATACTCATAGCATAAAGAATTGGGATGTTACGTCATGAATGGTCATGCCAAAAATGAGGCATATAAAGTGCATAGTTGTGGGGGGTAGTTGTACCTAACAAGCATGATCTTTTGAGAGCAAAGGGAGTTCTACAAGATCCTTCTTTGTTAAAATAAGTACCAACTTGAATGGAGTCTCTTTAGTGACCTCCAAAAATAAAAGGATGGGATAACTGTTAGAAACTTTTAATAACTTGCGTTGGAACTTGGAAGACTTGGTTATAAGGTCTGACGTGTGTGCGAAGAAAGTGTGTTCCTAGAATATGATGTTGAAGAAATACAAAATATCAAAAAAAAAAATGTAAACCAAAACAAATAAATTGGAAGACTATGAATAATTGAATACTCTTTCTTTTACTTTTTTTTTTTTTTACTTTTCTTTATCTCTCTGGTTTTTTTCCCCCTTTTCCCCTTTTTTTTGGAGCATTAAATTAAAATTGAGGAAAAGAGAACTAAAATCAAGATATTGCAATGTCCGAAGAATAACAATAATAGCAATGTCAGGCACCAAATATAATGTTAATTCTAAGTTTAGCTAAACTTTCAATAAATCAATTAGTCGCCTTTTTAAAAAAAAATTGTCATCAATTGGGTCTTGCCTAAAGATAGGCTAAATCAGACCGGATCCGTTTCAGTGCTCAGCAGCCGACGTGCCCGTCACCGGGGAAAACATCTGGCCCATCCAGAGATTTTTCAATTTTAATTTTAATTTTATATTTATAAAAATAAAATTTTATAAATTTTTTTGATAAATATATTCACATTCATCATTAATATAGACAGTACTGATTTAATTTGGATTGTTTAATTTAATGTTGTAATTTTCATAAATTAACTATATAGATATATTCTGGACAGTTCAAATTCAATATTAATTTTTTATCTACAAGGTCTAGATTTAAATTTTTTATTTTTATTTTTATTTTACATTTATCAAAATAAAAAATTATTAAAAAATTTAATATTAAATCTATCTTGTTCAGAGTACATCTAGATAGTCAATTTATGAAAATTATAATATCAAAATTAAACCACCTAGAGTTTCAAATTGAATCAGTATTATCTATATTGATGATGAATATATTTATTAAAAAAATTTATGAATTTTATTTTTATAAAATACAAAATTGAAATTGAAAAAATTTGGATTATCCAAATTAAAAATGTCCAAATTTTTCTTGAGTGATGAGCACGTCGGTGCTTGCTTAGCATGAAACCGGATCCAAATCAGACCGTAATTAGACATGTCTGAGTCTGTATCAGGTGCGGCGGTTTAAAATATGGACGCCAATCTTTCCAATATATCATTTGCTCTCCAGAGAAACTCATGAGCAGGAATCGGAATAGTTTAGTTTTATTTACAAAGAGAGAATTGGATAACTAATTCTCTTGATAAATTAGCTTTTACTTTACCAAACAATGTTAACTTCTTTAATCAGCCACCTATTACTTGATCGGTGGTGTTTTTTGTTTAGTTTGGTTGTATCTTTGCACTTGGTCTTTCTGATTTGAATGAAGGTGTCAATATTATTTAATACATACATACATATATGTGTGTGTGTGTGTGTGTATCAACGCCAATCTAAATATTTGGACTGGTGAGAGAACTGAGGAGATAGGTCTCTTGCCAATGTTACATCTTACTGCATTATACAATTGACATTTATTAAATAATGTGCCCGCATTGACAAAATTTTGGTTTCAGGTTTTCTCGTCATTGAATTTACAACAAATATTTCTGAAAAAAAAAGAATTTACAACAAATATTTTGACTCTGCTTAAGAAGTTGGAAGAAGCATCCCTATTCCAGTACTCCCAGTGGAGGAAAGGTAGTTTTATTTTATATATAAAACACTCTCACTCTCTCCCTAACATTTTGTTTCGTCTTGTTATTCATTGGCATGTGTTCCTTTACTATGATTTTTTTTTTTTCCCCCTTATTGAGGACTTATTTTAGCAGCTGTCACATAAATAAATAATTGTTTACTCCGAAGAAAGGATAGAGGCAAGGGGTGGAGTTTTATTTAGTAAGAGGTCGTAAGGCATGCTAAAATTAATTATAAACTTAAAATCATGATTTTTAATAAATATCCAAACATTCTTCGATGTTTAGTTATCGTGATGAAACTTAAGTGACCTTCCCCACCAAAATAGTCGTAGTTACACTAGAGTTATGCAGCTAACTACTTTGTTTAATAAAATACCCCCTCCTAATCTAATTATAAGACCCCTAGGCCCTAGCTACCTACCTATTGATCTTGAACACTAGAGCCTTTACAAAATTTAATGAAACATTAATGACGTGTTTTCAAAAATGTCCTAATATCTTATACTCTTGACTTCAATAATGACTTTAATTTGATCAAGGGTAGTTTTGAAAAGTTGTGAAAATCTTTGACATTTAATTAACTTTAATTAATTTTCTTAAAAAGATAGTTAACAGGGCTTATATAAAAAAGACTGGAAAAAGTATTTTCCTAAAAATTAATATCAAATTAATTGTCATTATATGCTATACTTTTTCATTATTGAAAACTTATCTTATAGTTTATAAGAGGTTAAATTTAACCTAGATGGTTTAGGTTTGGAGGATACGATCATTTTCTACCTATTGGTGAGCAGTTGGTGGGGATATTCAATGAGTGTATACAAAAAAAAGGTGTGATATTCAATAAAAAAAAGTGTGATATATTAATAATTACTTTTGCATGTAACCATAATAGCATACATTAACAAAAAAGAAAACATAGCTATTGAATCTTATAGTGTGTATTTTTTTTTAATGTTTTAGGTTCCTATAATTTTTTTCATTTACAATATTAGTTTCCTATTTCTAAATATGTCTAATGAGATGATGATGCGGCACTACCAATATTAAATTAGGTAAAAGACATTTGATGCATAAGGTAAAAAGCTTGACCTCCAATGATTGAAAATTACTTTCTAATGCTCAGTGACAGACCGGGGGCATTGGGCAAGGAGGGGTTCTTGCTCCCATGCATTATATAACCTTTGGTAAATATTGTCTTTTTTATTTGTAAAATAACCTAAATTAGATTTTGGCCCCTAATTCTTCATTTTCTTTTCAAGTTGCCCCCAACCATTGAGTTTTGGATCCGTCCTTGCCTACATTAACAAGTGTTGCTGTCAAAACAATCATAAAAAAACAATTATCCTTTTTTTTCTTTCTGCTAATTCAAATTGCCAACTTATTGTGTTTTAAACATGCTAACATCATCATTAATGTTGTTAGTTACACATTGGATAATTTAACACAGTTATTAGTATAAATCATTGTCCCTTTAGATGTATTTGAAAGTAGAGGGATGAACATGGTAGATGAGACAAACTAGAGGAACCAATAACAAAACGCTATAAAACTATAGAGACCAATATTTATGTTTCTCCTTGGCAAAATATTAATCATTATGAGAGGCTTATGTGATAAATTTATATTACATAGGACTCTAATAATTATCTCAATAAATCATACATCTAGAAGAATAATTAGATGATCAATACACTAAATGAACTGATAAATTTTAGGACGTCACTTTGACAGTGTTCACTCCTCTAAATTAAAATGCTTTGGATGTAAAAAAAAAAAATTAATAATAATGCTTTTGATGGCTATGTATTTGTCTTTTACACACGGGTAGATATAGCATGAATAAGTTTCTAACTATTTATCGTGGTCGTTCATAATCAGGTAAAGTTAATTTCAATGGCGTGTCAAGACTTTGGAGTCAATCTTGGTGCTGGAGTTGTGGCAAATTTGGCGACGACAGTAGTGCGACAAGCTCGCTACTGTTATAAATTCAACAAGATTGTTGAAGATCTGGAAGGTGAGCAAAACAATTTAAGATCAACAAAAGAAAGCATGCAAGTCCAAGTTAGAAAAGCCAGAGCAAACACCCATGAGCCTACGGAGGTCACTCAGGAGAAGTTGAAGAAAGTAGAAGATCTCTTAGAAGAAGCAAAGAAGTTGAAAGGGAAAGCAGAAGCAAGCAAGAGCTGTTGTAATGCCGTTTTGCCTAATTGGATATGTCGATATATTGTTGGCAAGAAAGTAGCGGGAGTGGCTGAAGAAATGAAGCAGCTCAATGAAAACTTGGGACAAATGCTATTGCCAGTACATCGTGAATCTCTTCGTCCCATGCGTGCGTCGGAAGAATTAATTTTTGTAAGCAGAGAAGAGGTTCTCCAGAAACTCTTAATGGCATTGAAAGATGATGAGAAGACAAAGATTGGGCTTTATGGAATGGGTGGTTGTGGTAAGACGTTCTTGTTAAATGAAGTGCAAAAGTCAGTTAAGGACTTAGAGCTGTTTGACAAAATTGTCTTCGTCAGAGTGTCTAAACGTCAAAAGACAGCTATTCAACAAGACATCGCAAGCTGGTTAGGATTGATTTTTGAGACAGAGATAGGTGAAGACACTAGAGCTAATAGACTGTCCATGGGATTTACAGAAGATAATAAGTATCTCATAATCCTTGATGATGTGTGGGAAGTCCTTCAATGTGATAAAATAGGGATTCCTCTTGGCGAAAATTGCAAAGTTCTTCTAAGCACTCGAGGACAAAATTTATGTACCATGATGAATTGCCAAGAAGCGATTCATCTATCACTTTTGACAAAAGAAGAAGCTTGGGATTTATTCCAAAGACACGCTGGTGAAATAGCAGATAGTGATGTGGCACAAGAGATCGCGGATATGTGTCATAGATTACCTATTGCAATTAAAGTTGTGGCTAGTATTTTGAAGGATCAACCTCTGAATGTATGGAAAGATACATTAGCAACCTTGAAAGATCACAGACAACCTCTATGCATTGAAGATGGATTGGAAGATTTTTATAAATGTTTAGAATTAAGTGTCAATCATTTGAAGGATCAGGAGAAATCCCTTTTATTATTATGTGCTTTCCTAGCCAAAGATTCAAAAATTTCTCTTGAAGATTTGATCAAATTTGCATTTGGACTGGACATATTTGATGATGTTGACTCTTATAGCAGAGCTAGAGAAAAAGTGGATATAGCCATTGATAAAATCAAAAAACGCAGTTCGCTGTTACAAGTTGAAGGACAAATTGTTGAAATGCATGACTTGGTACGTGATGTAGCCTTATTGGTAGCAGATAAAAAAACTCGTGTGATTACTGGGCCTGGACATAATCTAATGGCCTTCATAGAAAAGGATGATTGGGAAGACACAAGAAGATTGTCTTGTCGTGATGTTAATGAATTCCCAAATCAGCTAAACTGTCCAAATCTTGAGATCCTATTCATCTCTGCTGGTGGTGGATGCTACTCAGAACTCCCAACTACATTCTTCAAGGAGACGATAAAGCTCAAGGTACTGGTCATAGTAAATACATTTATATGGAGAAGCCCAAATCTATTGTTGCCCCAATCAGTTGATGAGCTAAGAAAACTTCGGACTCTCTGCTTGAGAGGATGGAAATTAAACAACATATCTATTTTGGGAAAATTGAACATGCTTGACACTGTTCAACTATTAAACTGTGTGGTGCAAGAGTTACCTAACGAATTAGCTGGATTGAGGAAGTTAAAATTTTTGGAAGTATCAGGGAGCAGAATAGGAGGCAATCCTTTTGAAGTGCTAGCAAGATGTTGTCATTTGGAGGAGCTGTATTTCATTGAAAATAATGTTTCTGAAATGGTTTCAAATGATCAAATTGTCGTTGAATTGTTTCACCAAATTGGCCACTCTAAGAACTTGAAAAGGTATCATCTAGAAATTGGAAGGTGCATTGATACTTTGAAGGATGATTCAACATCAAAATTCATATATATCAATGATTTTAATGTCTCTAGTGCAAATGTTGAAGCAATCCAGAATTTGGCACAAAAACTGGAGGTACTTTTCTTGGAAAAGATTAGAGGAGATTATAAAAGCCTCATTCCTGAGGTGATTCCATTGGAAGGAGAATGCAAGATTGAGCTAACTGAAATTCTACTATTTGATTTTAACATAGAATGCTTGATCGACACTACAAATCAACTATATGAAGAAAGCATCTTGTTCCCCAAGTTGATGAAACTCAAACTTGAAGCCATGAACAGCTTGGAAGCCTTGTGTCGTGGTCCAACTCCTCCTGGCCTTTTTAAGAATTTAAAGGAGCTAATCATAATACAATGTGGCCGATTGGTATCTATAGGGCAGCTAAAATTATTTCAGCTCAAAGCCATACAATTGGAAGATTGTCCAGAGTTGATATTTCTCTTCACAACTGCTACTGCTCAAAAAATGGAAATGTTAGAAGTGTTAAAAGTAAAAGAATGTGATAAATTGAAGCATATAATAGAAGATGGGAGAGAAGATGACATCGTTTCAACAATAGAGCCTGTGTTCCCAAAAATAAAACAAGTCTGTATCAACGGATGTGAACATCTAGAATGCATACTACCAGCACTGTTTGCTAGTCGCCTTGCACAGTTGGAGAGTCTCGAAATAGAAGAAGCTCGTGAGTTAAAATATGTATTTGGCAAATGCAATCATGAATGTCAACATCAAAGACAGAGCATTGAACTCCCTCATCTGAGAGTAATGAAGCTCATTCACTTGCCAAATATTACTAGTATTTGCCCACAAGATTATGATGTAACATGCCCATCCTTGGATAAACAACATGTAATGGGTTGTCCGCGATGGCGTGGAATGTCTGAAGCGAGACAGCAAGGCGATGGCAAAGCTACAAAGCAGGTAATATTATTGTGGATGAGTACACACTACACACGTACACGCAAAGCTTTGCCAAGTAATTGCATCAGTCACTTTGTGATCATGTATCGTTTTGGTTCTATTCAGGATGAGTCGCTTTTAGTGCTGGGTGATGAGGACTTGGGAACCAATGTTCAGGATGGTGTTGAGAAAAATTTCATCTTGGTACGTAGAGTTAATTAAATTATGTTCAAATATTTTAGTGGAAGCAAAATTGAAATACATCGAGTACGAATGCTAAGAAAGTCACAACTTTTCAACATCTTTCCTGATATTCATAAAATAAAGGAAAAATCTAGTTACAAATTACACACAGCTTGACATCACATGAAACCAAATAAGGATGATTCGCACGAAACATGTTCCTACTTCCAATCTATATCATTACCTTGATGCCCTCATTTGAGTAAAAATATCACCCAACTTGAACTCAAGTTTATTATATTTACTAGTATTTATCTACCACATATTAATTCTAATTTTTAATGATTAGTAATTATCATTTTAAGAAACACACACACACACATGTATGTATGTATTCTTGACATACACATTATTTCTAGAAATTGGAGGTGTTTTTTTTTTTGGGCTATTTTGTATATAATTTTTTTAAAAAAAATTGAATATGATATTACACTTGTCTTCTTGGGAAATCATTTTAAATGGCCTCTCTAAAAAGCTAGCTTGTTTTAGAGAAAGCTTGTATTCTCCACATTGGATGTTGAATACTCTTAGTTTCTTTAATTACCATAGTGCCAATAATTTACAAAAATGGATGATTTATCTTTTCTAAACATTCAGGAGTGCTTCTAATATATTTTGATGATTATAATTTCCCTAGACTATGCCTTTGTTTTTGGGAAGATGATAACATTCGACATTATACAGGAAGCCTTTCAATGTTTTTTTCGATTCAACACTTTGTTACAAATCTCAGAAGAGAGAAGGACGTGTTAAGCTCAAAAATAAGATTGAAGGAATTCTCCAGTGCTTACATGGTTGAGCCTTCGAGAGACTTTCTGAAACAGCTGGCAAAAGCACAGGATGTCATGGAAAGCGCAAGGGCGTTAGAATACGAAGTAAAAGCAAGCAAGAGCTGTTGTGGTGGGGTTTCCCTTAACTATTCACGTCGATATATTATAGGCAAGCAAATAGGAAGGTTGACTCGAGAAGTTTTTCAGCTCAAGGAGAGATTGGAATCAATCTCATGTCAAGGTAACGGTCCATTAAGACTCCCCTCGGTAAAGGTATGTTCCAATAAGAGAGAGACAGATAGGGAGGGTGGGCCCCACCTGGGAGAGAATCCAACTCTGGTCCCAGTGAGTCATTCAAAAAACTTCATTGCCTTCGAGTCTAGAGAAGAGCCATATGGTGAACTATTCACGGCTCTGAAAAATGATGACATTGACATGATTGGGCTCTATGGAAAGAGGGGTTGTGGTAAAACATTCTTGGCCTCAGAAATATGCAGGGCTGCGATGCACTCGAAGCTCTATGATGTGGTTATATTTTACACGCTCTCCACTAATTATACAAGCGTCTCATTAATTCAAGATAAGATTGCACACAGTTTAGGCTTAATCTTAGATGAAGACAAACGCCATAGAGCTGCAACGCTCTCCGAGAGGTTGAATAATGGTGACAAATTTCTTATAGTCCTGGATGATATTGTAGAAGAGCTTAATCTCGAAGACATAGGGATTCCCCCTGGTAAAAATAGCAAGGTTATTTTGATTGCTTCGGGATTACGTGCCTTGGTGGGTTGTCAAAAAGTGACCTCTCTGTCACCTTTGACCCAAGAGGAAGCTGGGATGCTATTCCAAGGACATGTGGGCACAATAGAAGATGAAGTTTTGGCGCAAGAGATTGTAAAAAAATGTCAAGGATCACCCCTTTCAATTACAATCGTGGCTGAATCTTTGAAGGGCAGTTCTGCTGATAGGTGGAAGGAAGCATCTGGAGGTTATAATGACCGAGCAATGGTTGACAAATGTGTGCGATTAAGTATTGCAAAATTGCGCTATGACGCGAGCTCACTTTTCGTATTATGTGCTTTCTTTCCAGAAAATTCAAACATCACTCTCGAACTTTTGATCAGATGTGCATTTGCATCGGGCATATTTGAGAATGTTCAGTCATATGAAAGAACCAGAAGCAAAGTAGGTGCCGTCATTGATGAACTCCTGAACTCTTGTCTGTTATTGCTAGCTGAAGAAGGGCAATATTTTCACATACGCAACTTGGTGCGTCAAGCAGCTTTGGGAGGAACGAAAGCTCGAGTAATTAGAGGGCCTGGAGAGTATTTAACGGCCACAATAACAAGAAAGGTCGATGATACAAAAAGATTATATTGCCATGATATAACTAAATACCCAAATCAGTTAATGTGCCCTGAACTTAAGATTCTATTTGTTTCTGATGACAGAGGGTGCTCACCAGAATTTTCAGATATTGTTTTCAAAGTCACTACAGAGCTGAGGGTGTTGGCCATTACAAATGCATGTACATTGAGAACACCATATTTTTGGTTGCCCCAATCAGTTGAAGGGTTGAAAAATCTTCGATTTCTTTGCTTGAGAGGATGGAACTTGGGCAATATCTCTATCTTGGGAAACTTGGAGATGCTTAACACTGTTGAGCTATTATATTGCACAATAGAGGAGCTACCCAAAGAATTATGGAGACTAAGGGAGTTAAGGTTACTTGAAATATCAGGGTGCAGCATAGGAGGAGGTGATCCTGTCGAGGTGGTAGCAAGATGTTTTCAACTAGAGGAGATGTATTTTGTTGGAAACGATCTTCAAGAAAGTGTTTTAAGGGATCGTACCCTTGTTGATTTATTGTACCAAATTAACTTCTCTAACGTATTGCAAAGGTATCATCTAGAAATTGGAAGTTCCATAAATAATTTGAAGAAAGATTTGAAGTCAAAATTCTTGTCTGTAAATAATGTCAGGATAGAGAATCTCGCGCGAAAAGTGGAGGTTCTTTTCTTAGAAAAAATATTGACAAATCATGAAAATATCATTCCTGACATGATTTTAGGAGGAGAATGCATGAATGAGTTAATTGAATTCCTACTTCGTGATTCTAACAACATTGAATGCTTGGTTGACACCACAAACCGTCAGTCTTATCAAGCTAGAAGTGTCTTCTTCAAATTGCAAAAGTTGAATGTCGAGAACATGAAGTGCTTGGAAGCCTTATGCCATGGTCCACCTCCTTCTGGCCTTTTTGAGAAACTGGAGGAGCTATTTATAATGGGGTGTAACCAGTTACATCGCATAGTCTCAGTTGGCAAGTTGAACTTGTGTAGTCTCAAGTTCTTACAATTGGAGGAATGTCCAAAGCTGACCTTCGTCTTCACACATTCTACAGCTCAAACTATGGTACTATTGGAAGTGTTGAAAGTAAGAGATTGCGTTGCATTGGAACATATAATAAATATGAGGAGGAAGAGGATGACATTATTTCTGTAGGGCCTTTATTCCCAAAATTGAAACAAGTCCTTGTTGAGAGATGTGATCATCTGGGATGTTTAATTCCGGCATCTTTTGCTGGTGGCCTCTTGCAACTTGAGACTCTTGAGATAAAAGATGCTTCTGGTTTGGAATATGTTTTTGGCAAATACAATCATGGAGAAGATCAGAATCTGAACCAAAGCATTGATCTTCCGGTGCTGAAAGTACTCAAGCTTACTAATTTGCCAAAAAATTTTCGCATTGCCCTGCAAAATTATCATGTAACATGGCCACCCTTTGATGGACAACATATCAGTGGATGTCCAGATTTGAGCGGCATGCCTTCGTTTGATTTAGAAGTAAGAGAGCAAGGTGACAATGAAGCTACAAAGAAGGTAATACATGTATATAGATACACACATAAATAGAAGTGCCTAATTTTTCATGCCATGATATATTAATTTTTTTTGTTAATCGTGTCATAGGAGTTGGAGCTTCCAGCACAACTTAGCAGCCAGATGATTGAACAAACTGTAAAAGACAGTCATGTTGAGGAATGCAAAATGAAAGGCTTTTCTCAAACGCTCAAACATGCCATTAATATGGAATCAGATTCAGAGCCACAAGGTTTGTCACAAGAAAAAAAAAGCCATGGTACACAACTCTATATTTTCCAATGCAACAGATGCCCCAAAATACAAAGACTACATAACTAATGAAACAATAGATTTGCCTAATCCTGTAATTCATAAATGACAACCTTCATTTTTATCTTCTGAAATTGCATTTAGAAGACGAAGAAGGTGTAATATCAGCAGCAGAAAGGGAACATTACCTTGACGGTGATGCTGAAGATAAGGATGAAAGGGAAGCTGAACAACAACATAAGGAAGAAAAATATGCAATACTAAAGAACAACAACAGTGTAATTAAACAAAGTGCCGCAAGCTGTGTAGAAAGCAGAGAACTTGATGAGGTACTAGTCAGAAATTCATCACTGGTACTTTCATTTCACTCATAGAGGATAACATCATGTAGAAGACAACCTAAAAGGCTAAAATTGTTGGTGTCATTTATAGGAGGTAATTGAGAAACAACCAAAGGTTGAACTTGAACTGCCACTAGTTGTGGAGAACCCACCACCAGCTCTTGAAGAATACAAAGGTAACATTTTAAGTTGCACAAATGAAGTAATTTACTTTACCAAGCTGCACATACTGATATTAAATTTAAAATTTCAACTGATTGCTATTAACTTTAAGATTTCAATTGATATTGTTTCTACGCTTTAACATATCAACACCCATCTGCAGAAGAGTTAGTTGGAAATCCATCCGTAGGTAATCATTCTTCATCATCGACCACAACTTCAGGTATAAGTAGAGTTGATTAAATGCACCAAGATAAAGAAGTACCATCACATACTGCATTTACTTAATACAGTTCTCAATATGATGATAATCTAGATGAAGAAAATCAAAGGAGAAATAATGAAATTCCAAGTTAATTTATTGCAAAAGGGTTAAATTTTCACTCGCTTGAGCACGATGGTATATCTGGCATGAATTTGTTAATTTTTTTTTTCTAGTTCTTATTTATCTTAACTTTTGTAGTTACTTATTGTTTTTATCTTCATATTCTGCTGCAACTTCTCATCAACAAATGCTACCTCAAGATTTACTTGTTCAAGTAGCTACAGAAGTCCATCATCAATCGAAAAAAATTGATGTGATCGATGATACTCAAGAAGGCATTCAAGAGCAGAACTTTCATACTGCCGGTTCAGTGAACTTGAGAGAGGGTGTATCTTGACTCCTACTACTTTCTTTCACATTAATCAAACACTCTCAGTGAATTAGCCTTTTTTTCGGATGTACAAAATTAAGTTCATCACTGAAGTTATACTTAAAAACTCAAATATATCAATTGTCAATTAATGTGCAGAGAAACACAGAAATAGAAGAGTTAAGTCTCCATAAAAATCCTGCCCCAGAAGAATCAATGGTGGGAACTTCATCACAGGTAGGTTCATTACCGGCTTCTTTATGGGATAACATTACAGAGGACAACCTAACATGCTAATTTTTTTTTGTTCCATGTACAGGTGTTGATTGACAAACAACCACAGACTGTGACAGACCCACAACAAGATATTCAAGATTACAGAGGTATCTTTTGAATTGCTCCAAAGAAATAATATATCTGGCCAAGTTGCTCTTTATGTAATGACTTCAAAATTTTAATGTTTCCCAGCTTCAAATTTATTGCAACTTACTTGTTATTATGACTTTCCGACTTTCTCAAACTTTCGCCAACTTTACATATTCAAATGTGAATGGTATCTTTTTTATTTGTAGCATATTTTCCTTTGCATGTGCAATCATCAATGCTTTCACCAAGTACTAGCATCTTTACCACTTCAACTTCAGAAGCACTACTGATTTCTTCTTCAATGAAGCAACACCATGTAACAGAACAATTGGTTGACTTTCATGATCTATCAAAACCTGCTCACTTTCCAGACAAGGCATTTGTTAGGTCAGCAGGTTCACATTTTCAGTCGATGAAGCAAGATGATACTTTTGGTATAAAATTTTAATTTTCTTTTAGGTTTACTCTTAATTTTCATGGCTAGCTACTTATGGCTTTTATCCTCATATTCTACCATAGCTCCTCCTCAAGAAATGCTTACTAGAGATTCACACAATGAGGTTCATGGAGCTTCTGATTTTCAGCTACATTCACAAAAATTTGATGCAATTGTTGATACTCAAAAATGCCTTCAAGAGCAGTACCTTTATCCAGTTGGTTCAACGAAATCAAGAGAGGTGTATCTTGACTCATGTTAATTAATTTCACATTATTGGCACATAACTCTCAGTAAATTGTCTTCCTTTTCTACTTGTGAAAAAATTAATTTCATCACTGAAGTTAAACTTAGAAACTGATATATCAATTAACAATCCATGTGCAGAATAACACGGAAATTGTAGAGGGAAGTCTTCATAAAGATCCTGTATCAGAAGAATTAACAGTAGGAACTTCACCACAGGTAGGTTCGCTACACTCTTCTTCATGGGATAATATATATATAGAAGACTAAAGCCATTGGTTACATATATAGGAGTTGATTGAGAAACAACTACAAGTAAAACTTCAACCGCCAGAGTTTGTGGAGGACACTCAACAAGCTCTTGAAGATTACAAAGGTATCATTTGGATTGATCAATAGACCTAGCGTGTATCTCCAAATTTCACATACTGTTAGCAAATTTAAAATCTCAATTCAAAATGTTTCCAAACTTCAAATAAATTGCAACTTACTGCTATGACTTCCCAACTTTATCCACTTTTAAATATTTAAACCGAAACTGATGTCATTGTTATTTGTAGTGTCTCATCCTCTGCCTCTGGATCCAACAGTGCTTTCACCGAGTACTGGCATCACTACCACTCCATTAACTGCAGAAATACTGACTTCATCTTCAACAAATCAGCAACCTCCAGCAGAAGAGTCTGTTGATTTTCATGGTCTATTTAAGATTAAGGCAAGATGTGCTTGCTTACTCGAAGAGGCATTTGTCAAATATCGACATTTACGGGACTGGGACCTCGCACAAAGGACTCACAGGATTCGCAAGGTGGGATACAAGTCCTTAGCTGACATGTTGGCATTTCTAAAATTAGAGACGCCAAAGACAATGGATGATTCAAAGAAGAAGGCATTTGAAGATCTATATTATGAACTCGAATTTTTTGGCTTTGACAAGAAATGGCTGGCATCCATTTGGAAAAGAGTGATGGATATGCAAGCTGATCATAACAACAAGTTGAAGCAGCTGGATCAGTTGGAGTCGCAAGTTAGAACCTTTAAAAGAACAACTTAGTGACGCAACAGCAAGCTTGGCCAGTGTGAAGGATGATCTCTCAAAACCTGGCGACGTATTTGGCTTTTAAGTATGGTTATTATTGAGATATGTAGCTCTTTGAGGTCACCCACTTTGTGTCAACTTTGATTTGTCTCGTGTTTTGGTCATACTTTCCCTTTCAAGAACCCATAACAGATTATCATGTTTCACTAAATCTTATCTTCATGTTGGATTTCAAATATTTGTAGTAGTCACTGTTCTTGTATTGCCATATTATCTACGTTCAGTGAGCGATACATGTTATCTGTGCAAATCCTCTAGTTCATATGGCTCACACGCCTTAATCACTCCCACTCTGACACTAATTTTTGTGATTACAATTGCTGTAGATTACTCTAAATAGTTAGATTGGAGAACGAAAATGAATTTGAATCAAAATAAACTTCAATCGCGTATAATATATATTATTATGTCATCATATCTCATCTAACTAAATTCTTCACACTTGTTTAGTTCTCACTGTTCATTGAGGTTGCTAATGAATAATTAAAAAAAACTAAAAAATATTAATGGAAAATTATATTAATAAACAAAAGTTCAAGGTGTTATTTTAAATTTCACTTAGTAATCTTAGGGAAAAAATTATGTGAGATTTATCTTATAATTAATTTCAATCCAGAAACAATCAATTAAGCAAGTTATAATATTTTTTGGGGGCTCAGAATTGGTCGCAAGATTTAAATACTTGATCCGGTCTATAAGAGCTAGTTCATGAGTTTATTTTGGTCTTAAATTTAAGATCTCAATCTTTCTTTCTTTCTTTCTTTCTTTATTTATTTCTTTTTTTGATGACCAAGATCTCCATCTCTTTTATCTCCTATATTTATCATTTATCCCACGTTACTATTAATTGCGCACTTCAATATATGCAACCAGTTATAATAGTTTCTAACACAAATGATAAAAGGAGTGGCATTTTAAAGAAACCAACACATACTTTTACTAATCACTAAATGAGATTATTTAATTGATAAAAATTAATTATTTGGCTTCTATATTTAAGACCTGACGGAATAGTAGATATATAGGCTAACTAAATGAATTTTTCAATGATGGTTTTCACCACCCCACTCTTTGATGAGCTGCTACTTTTTTGTTGAAATAAAAAATTATCTGAGTTGGATGGTCTCACGGCGCAAAACGGCTCTTGAAATACAATAATTTTCTCTTACATCCAAAATCAGATTTTTACGGTTACATCAATCGGCAACTGCTGGAGTTTTGAAGTCCAGAGTTTGCTATTTTAAATTTACTTTCACATTATTCAGGGAATTTGTTTTCCATATCTTTGAAAAACTAAGCTTGCTGTCTTCATTTATTAATTAATGAAAAGTGACTGGAAAATTATAAATTTACATCTCATATTTTTCCCATTTCAAGCCCTCTCAGGATTGTCACGTACAATTGTGATGAGTATTAACACTGTAAAACTAAAAACAAGTTAAATCATCCAGTCGATGACCTGCTTAGCATGATAATATATGGAGAGTTAAGTTAACCTGAGATTCAGTTTCGATGCTCATGCAAAATCTAAACTATCCAGATTTGATAAATTTTGCTTTTATATATTTCAATAAATTATTATTTTAATAGGACATAATTTAAAGGGAAAATGATAGAAAAATTTATATAAATTATATAAATGACAGATTGATCTCATGATGAAATGGCAAAATTCTCCTGAAGTCCTATGGAATTTTTTGTCATTAGGGAATTAAAAGAAATGACCAGATTGCCTTTAAATAAAAAAAAAATTTCAAAGTTGCGAATGACTATTGAATTATTGCAAATTTAAAAATAAAAATTGTTAATATATACAAAAAATTGTGAATGAAAAATTATGATTTTTCAACACTTGATGCATATCAAGACCTATATGTGTAGAATTGTGAATAACTATTGAATTATTGTAAATTAAAAATAAAAGTTATTAATATATGACAAAAATTGTTAATGAGAAAAGTTACGAATTGTTTTAAAATATGAATAAAGGGCAAAAGCATTATTTTTATAATTTCCTAATGACAAAAACATCTCTTAACACTTCAGAAGAATTATGCCATTTTGTGAACCAATCTATCATTTACATAATTTAAATAAATTTTTTATCATTTCCCTAATTTAAAATAAAGATAATTTTATAACTGTCACTCTGACTAAAAAAAAATTATATAAAATACTAAAAGTTAAATATTTTAATTTAAACTATTAAAATTAATTTTGAATGGCCCATATCTCATCAAAATGATGAGCATTGAAACCAAATTGAAACCAAACCCGTCTCACCCCATCCCCTCTTTTCTCTCATGACAAAATCCTACATGTGTAGCAGAAAAATCATGCTCGCATAACATGTATAGTAGACAAAGTTTGAATTACTATTCATGACTCCATACAAACATATAAGTTCATTTAGTTTATAAACTCAGACAATTTAAGAGACAATGGTGATAAGCCACCATGTTTACCCCGCTTTT